GCCCTTTAATCAGCACCAACAGCAGCACATCTTTGATCTTAATGGTGATCACTACGAGGGTGGTGGTGGTGGTAGTGGTGACCACTTTCCGCACTATATTCACCGAGTAACCAAGGTAAAAGTTTGAAACTGAAATCATGCATTTTTCATCACTGCTTTTCTTACCTATTCTTTTTATTCAGCCAGTAATAGCTGAAATTCATGAGATCATCACGCCCCTCCGCAAGGGAGGAAGCGGCGCTTACGAGCAGACGAGCATTCAAGTGAAAGACGACTACAATATGCGACCAATACCACTACCACCACCACCAATGTCGCCCACAATTCACCACCTCCTTAACAGTCATCAACAGCCAAATCATCATCCTCAAAGTCACCTGCAATCGCCCGCCCACCACTTGACCTCTTCATCATCCCCTCACTATCAACAAACGGACAGAAAGCTTCCACCATCGCACTCAAATAATAACAAGCACTCCTTTTCAGCCAGCGAGGTCTCCTTTTCTTCGCACCCCTCTTCCTCCTTCTCCTCTTCCTCCTCCTCCTCCTCACACCTTCCACGCTTCAACTACTCACTGATGAAGGACCGTAACTCACACAACTTTGGCATCTTCAACAAGGCCTACGACCTGGCGTTGAGCATGAACAAGGCCAATGGTTACATGCTTAATGGTGGTAGTGGTGGAAACGGCGCCGGAGGCGGCAGCAGTCACCCGAACAACAACAGCAACAACAGCAGTCAAGGGCACGTCGAGGTGACAGGTGATGTTGGTGGTGCTGCTGGCGTCAACGGCGGTGAGATGGACGAGCCCCAGAGTGACGCATCGAACCATGAGGAGAGCAGTGTTATCAACAACAGTGCAAATGGTGGTGGTGGTGGCAGAGACAACAACGGCAACAACGGCAACATCAGCAACCTTCAGCCTCAGCAGGTCTGAGTCAGTGTGTTTTAAATCGAAGGACGCCCAAAAATGTCTTTTTCTTTCTTTCTTACTCTTTCTCTTTCTCTGTACAAACACAAACACACATACACATATAGACAGATAAACGATCTAGCCCATAATTGACGGTCAGCCAATTAGTGCGCCTCCTTCAGCAGTAGTAGTTTGCCTGCTCTTCAATTCAGTTTGTCTGACTGTCTGCCCATATGTCTTCTCCGTTTTCTTTCAGTTCTGTTTTCTCTCGGCCCTCTTCGCTTGAGCGATCTTCAATCAGGGCGCCCGCGAGCGCAAATAATAATAATATAAAGCACAGCCAATTTGCACGTGTCCGAGGTGCATCACAAGAAGAAGGAGCATCAGACCGCAGTCAGCCAGACAGACAGAGAGACAGAGAGACACAGTCAGAGCAGTCGATCGTCGCTGTCTGTCAATCGTCGGCCATAATCGATCCACTCTGCGTGCTCTGCAGCAGCAACAGCAGGGACAGCAGCAGCACATCGTCAGTAATGATGGCACTCGCCTGAATGGCGGCGGCAGATGAGGCCGATGAAAGTGACCGACCTGATCGGCCTGTGTGACCAAGGTCCACTGTGCCACATTGCCCGCCGGTGAAGGTGAGACCGTTTTCTACTTGCGCCGATTGTCGCGCGACCTTTGCCCGGTGTGTTTGCTTGCTGGTCAGCAGCAGCAGCAGCAGCAACGACGAAGATGAGGCACAGACAAAGACATTTGATGAAGCGATGAAGCGTCATAATTTAGTGATCTGAATCGCATACTGTATCGCGTCTCGTAGCGTCGCGTCGCCGTCACTTTATCATCATCTCAGGCTTTTTCCACCTCTACTTCTTTTTCTCCTCCTCCTCCTAACTAAAACGTCCAAATCAGATTTGCAAATGAGCACTTGTGCGCTCAGAGCCGAAGACTACTACAGAGCCGATGATTGTCAATGGTCAGTGGCCAATGTGCACTGCTGTGCACACCAGACGCACACAAAGACAGACACACTACCTCGGCCATTGTGTGGAGAGAGAGAGGATGCCACGGCTTTCGGTGCAGATCGGCCACTGTCACTGTGATGAATGCTGACAGCCCACTGTGTGAGCACCACCAGCAGTCAATCAAGCAAGGTCTAAGTGTAACAAAAGCACAGTGTCCGTCTGTGCATTTCACAAAGTCGATGATGATGATCAGCTGAGGCAGGAGTTGTGCGGTCAGGTCACAGCTATGTGGTCAATCGGTGGTGTGTGTGTGGCGGTGACAGCTCAATTCTCTTCTTCTTCTTTTTTGAACCGTCTTTAAGGAAACAGCCCAAGCGTCTTTACTCGGAAATGTCAAGCACTACTGAAAAAAATAAAAATTACGTGCAATCAGTGAGAAACTGAGTGCACTCTGTGTGTGAACAGTACCAACACTAAAAGTTTGGTGCAGCAGTGTTTGAGATGCAGTGAGCATCAAACACAAAGCGGATAATGAATGCAATTGTGATTATAAATAGATAATTGAGAGAGAACGAAAGCGAAAACCGATTCAAAGAACGGCTTAAAGCTACTGTGCTACTGTCTTTTACATCGGCATGATTAGCGAACACACAGAGCTAGTGTCTGAACTAAAAGCTCAGCTTGAAAGCTCAGGTGGAAGTTCACCTGACTAAAAGTGCTGTCTTCGTCTCATAGGGCTTTTCTTTTCTTCCACCAGGTAGTCATTTATTTTTGCCTCACATGTCCACATAAATACCGCCTGCCCATTCAACTCACTAAGCTGTTTGTTTGCATGCAGATTAACAGCAACAGCAGCAAACAAAACGGGGCAGAAAGCTTCATCTGAAATCAGGAGCAAACCACAACTTAACAGCTCCTCAAATTACGCACTCAAAGTAAACTCCTTTTTTGCTAATTGTTATTGATCGAGCCGTTGTCGTTTGAAACCCGTAGTCATGAACAATTGCAACAGTGCCACGGTGCTGTTACACAAGCTGCAGACACTACAACTGTCACACAACTGATCAAAAAAGGACGCTAAATGACAAAATCTCTGAAGCACGGCTCTGTCGTGGTGATGAAGATGAAGAACACTCGGCGATAAGTGCTCACGTGGCAATTAGTGCTAGTAGGAGAAGAAGAAGAAGAAGATGCTGAAGTTGTGGTCACCATATTGCCCACAGCAGCAGCAACAGCAGGACATTTATGAGAGCAAAAAGCAGTAAACAGCAACAGTTGCGCATTGCAGGCAAAAGCGGGCACCAAATTAAATCGCCACCATCGCCATTTCGCCATTGATTTGGTGATCTCATCGTCAATTGTCCGCGATGTTCACTCTCTCTCTCTCTCCCCTTTTTACTCCACTCATCTGTCAGATGTCGGTCTGTGTGTGTGTGTGCTCCCTTCAAGTCCTTTCATCTTCGTGTTGTCCACTTTCGCTTTCTTTCTCCTCTTCTTTTTTTTCTTCTTTCCCCCACTCTCCTCCTGTTTGATGACTTCATCGTCTTTGTCATCTTCTTGCTCTCTCTCTCTCTCTCTCCTGGGCATCCTTTCTGTCTTCATCGACATCTTCGCATAGCTTCTCGCGCTAATTCACCTATAAAAGGTGCCAAGTTCGAGCGCAATCAGCTCAGTCAGTCGGTAATTCAGTCAGTGTGTGTGTGTGTTTTTCCCATATGTTCACCAGTGAGAGATGTTCACGGTAATGGCTACGATGACAAAGCTAATGTTTTCTTTTCGTTTTTGTGTTCTACCTTTTCTTGACTGTGTGCTAATGGTGAACTTTGTGTTTTATTCTTCTTTTTTCTTCTTCTTCCACGTAGTATCAAGTAGCATCAGTGGTGGTGGTACTTTCGGCTGCTTTTCTGGTCAATGCACAGTATGGCGGCGGTGGTGGTGGCGGCGGCGGTGGTGCCAGTAGTGCAAGTGCAGGCAGCAACTCCGGATACCGAAAAGGTGGCCAAATGATGATGAAGCAGCAACAGCAATCCTCATCCTCATCCTCATCACAGAGCGGCATACCATCGCTGGAAATGATGATCAGCCAGATGATGAGCCAACCATCAAGATCATCCACTAAAGGCGGAGGCTATGGCAGCGGTGGTGGTGGTGGTGGCGGCGGCGGCAGCGGAGGTGGCAGTTACACCAGCAGCAAAAGTTCAATGATGATGCCAAAATCGATGCCCAAGCCGATGTCCAAACCGATGATGATGACGATGGTGCCAGCGCCGATGCCCAAGTCAATGATGAACATGATGATATATGGAGGTGGTCAGGGCTCTGGCCCATCTTCTTCTCCTTCCTCCTCCTCCTCCTCCTCTGGCTATGAAATGCCCTCTGGCATGCCCATCCCGGCGGCGGTCAAGTCTTCGCACACTGTGGAGTACAACGAAGTGCCCAACGAGCCGGCCAACATTCAGCCGCAGACGATTCTCGTAGAGGCGATGAACATTCCGCTGAACATTCTCTTTCAGTCCAAGTCGAGCAATCTCAATCTGCAGAGTGAGCACGTTCCGTCGCCGGGCAGCACTCAGGAGACCAGCTCAGAGGACGAGCCTCAGGTAAGTGAAAAATCTTCTGCTGTTGAAATTGTTATAATAACAGTGCACTTAATATTTTTCTTTTTCTCATCTTTTTGCAAACAAAAAGATTCTCAAACACACCGTCACCAAGCCTATTCTCCAGACCGTTCTAGAAATAATCCAGCCTTATAGAAAGATAATTCAGGTTTGCAACTGCCACTTACCATCTCTTTGCCACTGCACATCTAATTGCACACGCTTCTTTCTTTCATTCCTGCCCAACACAGGAAATTAAACCAGTGGAAGAGACGGTGAAGACCATAGTGGCCCGTGCTATGCCGAGTGAAAACAAATACGAGGCAGTGCAGTCAGGCGGTAAATACGGTTCCGGCGGTGGAAGTGGTGGAAGTGGCAGTGGTGGTGCTGGTGCTGGCTCACTGTCCATGTCCTCCAAGTACGGCAGCTCCAATGGTGGCGGCTCCAATGGCATGATGGGATACCAGCGACAGCAGCAGCAACAGCCACAATCCCAGCAGCAGCAGCAGCAGCAGCAACCGAAAATGACGCCAATGAACGAACAGATGCTCTCTCAGATGATGAATGCGCTGAAGATGGAAATTCCCAAGCAGTTCCTTCAAATGGGCGGGTACAGCTACTCGCCGCCGCCGGCCGCCAGCTCCTCAAAGTCTCGCATGCAATTGTACATGCAGAGCCAGGAGATGCACGGTGGCGAGCCTATGGGCGTCATGAAGGGGCGCCAGCAACAGCAGGAATCAGCAGAGGAGCAGCAGCAGCAGAATCACATGGCAACCTATGATCAGGAGTCAGAAGGCGGCGGAAGCTCTGAACTTGCTGATGATGGCGGCAATGATGTCAGTGTTGGTGGTGGCCGTAGTCGGACCTTTCAAATGGAGCTGCCCACTGGGTCAAGCAAGGGCGAGTCACTGCCACTGGAGCTGGCCGCCGAACCGGAGCTGAAGGAGGACGATGTCCAGCACCAGCATCAAACTAGTACCACTGAAGAGGGCGTCTTGCCTGGCGACGAGGAAGAACAGGAGGTGACTGTCACGAGAAATTCTGCAACTTCATCTTCCTCTGCTATGGAGAGCAGCACTCCCACCTCATTGACCTCGGAAAAGTCCACCGGCAGCAGCCTGCCGACCATAATGATCTACAGTAGTGCTCCGATGCAGCAGCAACAGCAGTCGCAACAGCAGAAGAAGAAAAAATCCGAAAAGAATGGACAGAAATCGTCGGCCACTACGGCCGCTGTCCCGAATGGCGCCGCCAAGCTAGGTCTCGTGCAGAAGAGCTTTCTCCAGAGCAGCAACGTCGAGCCGTCTGGCTACTAGACTACGACGACGACGACGACGACAGTACACACGCATTTTCTCATTAGGTTTCACTCATTTGTAATTTATGTTCATTTTTCTCTCTTCTTCTCTTTTTCCTTTTCCAGTGTTGTTTCTAATAAAAGTAAGAAAAGTACTGTACTTAGAGCAGAAATGTGGCTATGACCGCATATTATACTAACTGGTTTGAACAAAAAGGTGAAAGTATCACCACTAGAAACCTCAAGAGAGTTGGCCCCGCATTTAGTACACCAAATTGACGATGTCGTTAGGCTGGTCGTTCATCAAGGTAATTAGGCTTGTGAGAGAGAACGAGAGTTCATCAAACCGTGAATAACAACAATTACCACAAGTTTTCGTTATGATAAATGAATTGCGAGCAGAGACAGTAAACAGCTGCAGAACTATCGATGACCAGCATTTAAGTGTCTCATAGGCAGCTGAGAACTTAAGTGGCATATATAAAGCTGGGTCAAAAGTGCAAACGTAGATTAAACTCACTAAATCATCACACATATTCACTGACGCACCGACGCCATGTTTTTGCAACTTCAGCCAAGTTTTGGCTGTTTTAAAACTTTTTTAGTAACTTTAATACTGAGGGTTGGTATTGAGGCCACAATGAACAACTACCCAGGCAACCACGTTCAACCGATGTATCAGCAGTATCCGCACCAGCATCAGCAACAACAGCAGATGACTATGATGCACCCCCACTTAAAGTGGCACCAAATGGACGGACAACAACAACAGCAGCAACAGTATTCAAAACAACAACAACCGTACTCGGGAATGCCGTTTGAAGAAAAATACCGCTACCAAAAGACAATGACGATGAACAACAACCCCAATCACAACCACAAAAAGTGGCTAAGGTCAACAAAGGCTCCAAAGAAGAGCACCATTCTGGTGGAGTCTGCCCACTCCTCGCCCATCAATCTGTTGTTCCGCTCCATTTCGAGCAGTGTCAATGTGATGCAGGATCACAGGCCATCGAGAGGACTGACGCGCTACATGAACAGTGAAGAGGAGCCGCTCGTTTTGGTGATGAACATTACCAAGCCTATTCTTCAGAGGGTATGATATTAATAGTGATCAGAAGTATACAAAGTTTAAATTAATACCCATTGGTATAGGTCACCGAAATGATACTTCCACAGCGGCAAATTCAACAAATGATCTACCCCATAAAGGAGAGCATTGAGACAATCATCAAAGACGATGGTCAATACAATAAACCGCAGTCGTATGACGGCTATTCTTCTGAGCAAAGTAATTTAATGCTCAAAAAAATTTACAGTTTAGAATAATTCTTACCTTTGTTTTTTGATAAAGTGGACAGAAGTGGTGACCTGGGTGGTGGTGGTGGTGGTGGTGGTGATGATGATAATGGTGGAAATCAGGAAAAGCAGAGCATTGAAAATTACGTCAACTACGTGGTGGGCAATGATAATGAGCATCAGCAGCAGCAGCAGTTGAATCCAGAAAATTCATACAAAAAGCAAACAATGACAGACGATTTTGGGATGGCAAGTTATCGAGAAATTGAAGGCAAGGATGCACATTCTTCTGGTGGTCAAACGTCGCCAAACCAATCATTCAATGGTCAAGAACAGGAAAATTATCACAGACAAGAAAAAATGATCTACAACACAAACATTGAGCCAGTTTTCCGAGAGTCACAGACAGTGTTCAGCAAAGATAAACCTGATGCTAAGCTGCTTGATGAACAGGCGATAGCAACCGCTGCTAACTCTACCGCCATTTCAACAACAGTGGCGACCTCAACTGAAAGTGAAAGCCAACCCCTGCTGGCAACCCGAAACTCAACGGCAAAAGTTTGAGGATGATGGAGATAATTGATAGTGTTAAAATTCACAATAAAAAAATTCTTTTGCATAATAAATAGCCTAGATTTATCAATCTAAACTTACAAAATTTTTCTTTTTTCTGACAAATCCAATCATAAAATTTTCTGACAACGGTGTGTAGGCAGAAAAATTCTAGCAAACTTCTTTTGGCTTATATAAAATTCTCTTTCATGTGAACACAAACTAGAACCAGACAGGCACTGCTCAACCCAAGATGTTCTGTTTGCCATCAGCTTTAGCTTTCAATGTAGTGGCCAGTTTGCTAAGCAGCTGCTGTAGGTAGTTGTCTGAAATGTAGAAAAAGGAAAATCGCAAAGCAAGCGAACACGTCAAAGGAGAAAAGAGAACACTACTACCGTTGTCACATTGAGAATCAATTCACTCAATTGAAACTTTCCTGGTGCCTGTAATCCGGCCAGATAAGCTTTCTTTTTCTTTTTATTCTCCTTTTCTTCTTGCTCTTCTTGTTTGCCATCTATGCAAATGCTATACCACGCGCACCACTGCTTCCAACTGAAGACTAAGTCTGTTAGGCTAGCAAAGAAAAGAAGTGAATGAAATGGAAAAGCGGAATAAAGCGGGCCTGAGAAAAGGCAAAAGAAAAACGCTTTCACCCGATTTCAATCACAGGCACAAAGATTCAGAGACTCAGAGACAGAGACAGGGACACAAGCCCACACACACATTGCAGATGTCAGCGCAAATCAATTCCGGCGGCCGATTCCTGGCAAATCGTCTGTTTCTCGTTGTCTGCTACAGCTACTGCTGAACAAAAAGGGGCAAATGGAAAACGGAAAGTGATAGAGTGAAAAGAGAGTGAGAGTGAAAAGGAGAGAATCACAACTGCAAAAAAAGAATGTGAGCAATTGTTTTGTCGGTGGCGCCTGTGTGAGAAAAGCTGTAGCAGCTGTAGCAGCAAATGTACGGTTACCATCACCATCACCACCACCACCATCAGCTCTAATTGACTGGCAATTTGGGGTGGTAAACTGGCGCACCACTTTTCGGTCATCAATTTGTCGGGTGCCACTCTGTCACGTAGACATTCACTGGCAGTTCAGCTAGTGAAACCTTCCACCACCACCAGAAGCAACAAAAAAGAAGTACAACGACTCTGTTGTGACAGTTTTACTCTGCAAACTCTGTTGTCTTTTTTTAATTAATAGTCTGCTTTAGATTAATTGATAAATTGACCCTCTAATTGTTAGCGGTGGCACTCTCTAAGGTCCTATCCTATCTTCTTTTCTCTTTTCAGCACCCTACTTTACATAAACAAGCGTTTTAATTTAGCAGTATGACTGTTTTGCGCTGAAAACTGAAGTGCTTATTGCCTAATCTAAGTGCAAAATTTAACTGGAAGTAGCAATAAATCAACAAGAGCTCTGGTGGCAGATAATAACAACAACAATCCAAAAGTTGGCAACAACTAGAAAGTAAATGAAAAAAATACATTTTCCTGAAATTTATTTCTTGTTAAAACTTGCTTTCTTCTTTTCCGCTAAACAAACACTAAATACACATACCGCTTTCCTTTCCGCTTTTTTGCCTAATGGCAATCAAAGGAGGCAACAGCAGCAGCAGCACTCGTCAGTTGGACCTGCTGCTGCCGCCCGAAAAACGGTACCCATTTCACCGAGCCCTAAGAGATGCCTCCTTTTTCACCTCCATCGACCCGAGCGACTGGAGCTCCAAAACAGGTCGTTTCCGCCGGTGGAAACGCTTTCAGATTGCCTTCATGGTCAGCCTTTGTCTTCGCCTGTTTGTGGAGTGCCTCGTTCCGACGAGTTCGCAGCTGCTGCTCTACCTTGGTGACTTTAAAGGTACTATACAAATGCTTTTGCAAATCTGCCTTATCTTAATCTTTTCCTCCATTTTACTACCAAGTCTGGTGGGGTGAACCGTACCAGATAAATCAGGTGATCTGGATCGCGGCGGCCATTGTCGTGCCTTCCTACTACTTCATCAACCTGCAAACTTTCTGCGCCAAAGACGGCCGTTGGGCGCTGCCATTTCAGTTTGCCGAGGGCCTGCGCACCGCCCGGCAGATCAAACTTGAAGATGAACGGCAGATAGAGAGTCTGCACTTTAAGATGAAGGTGAACTTTTATCGAGCCACCATTCTCCAGCACACAGTGCTAATCTCCTACAGTAAGTCGGGGAGATAACACTTTTTGTCTGCTGGCAAACTTTTTTTAGTTTTAGAAAAGGCGAGTGTCTGCTAATTAGATTTTCCAACAAACTCTCTGAATGAATGAACATTTCGCTAAAACTAGTTTTCTACTCAAACTGCAGCCACAGCTGTTTTTATCTCTTATTTGGTCTTTTACGAATCCTACTGCTACTTTTTCACCTTGGGCATCTTCTGGACAATCTATGAGTGCCACTGGTAAGTGAATGGATGGGTAGAGAAAGGGGAATTTACTCTAAACCAACTTTTCTTTATCTTTTTTTCTTTTGTCATCTTTACAATACTGCACACAAATAATACTTACTGATGCAGGACCCGATACATTGCCGGAAATATGGGTCTCTACTCGGCGTGCTTCGAGATTGTAGCCCATTATTTAAGCTTAAGGTGAGTGCACTTTTGGCATTCAAAAGTGTAAGAAAACCATTGTAATGAAGCTGAAACGACACACCTTTGTTCACTAGGCTAGGTAAAGCTCAGGAGAAGCTGGCGATAATCAACGAGCGATTGCGCTTGAAGCGGTACCCAGTTTCGAGCACTGCACTTCGCATCACTCTGCTGCTGAGTAAGGTGACCGAGGTGAGCTGTCTGTTTTCAGAGTTTGCTGAAAAATGGCCTCCCTTTCTTAGCGACCACAAAAGAGAATGCCTCTTATAATATGTTTTGCCCTTTTTTTCTTTTCATCTTTATGTTCACCGCAGATCAACTCCGATATGCAGCATTACAATCACTACTGGCGAAAGTACATGCTCGCCGTCTTTGTCTCCTACGTGCCGCAAATTCTCTTTGAACTGTACGCCTGTTTCTATCTGTCGATGACGACGAGGCAAGTGTTCTGAGCAGAACTGACATTCATTTTCTCAGATTTTTAAAACATTTTCCCCTATTCTCTCTCCCAAGCACAGCGTTTTTGTCTTCTCCATCACCCTTTCCATTAACATGATCTTCCTGGTCAGTCAGCTGTGCGTCTTCTCAGCGGCGGTTATTCATAAGGTAAAAAACGTAAGTGAGCAAGTAAAAAACTAACGGCCTTTTGTACTAATTGCACTAGGCGTACGCACTGCGCAATGACCTGTACAGCTGCTGTGTGCACCTCGCCGAGGAGTGCCAGGACGCGCTGACCCGGCGACAACTGCTGAAGATGAGCTTCTTCATTGAGCAGTACAACACCAAGCTGACCGGTTTCTACCTGATGGACCACTACCTCATGGACTGGAACTTCTACTACAATACGGTGGTCAACTGCAGCATTTACTTTCTCCTCCTCACCGAGATACTTCAGGCGCCGTACAGAAAAGCTCAGATATGACTGTTTGATTTTTTTCTGGATATTTTATTTACTGGTGCTGCTGTGTGTTATTCAGACCAGAATAGTAGAAAGATGAAGAAAGAGAGAGAAATGAGGAAAAATGGAGAAACAAAACTGGCTAAGTTTTTGAGAGAAAGGCAGTGAAAAAAACAAAAAGTGCAAAGTTAAAAAAGTTGGCAAACGCAGAATGAATGCGGTACTCAAGAGTATTTCGGTCATTTTTGTCGATCATGTATGTACAGAAAGTAGGTGTCAAAAATTATTGTCTAGAGTTGTGGTGGGAGAGTAGGGCCGGTGGTCGTAGTAGTCAGTAACGACTTTCTCAAGCGCGCAATCGCTTTGACTCAAAGAACGCCTGATCTTCTGCCGACCTCCTGAATGCCCGGTCTACAGAGTCATGAGAATCGTGGGAGTCTCTAGCCGTAGAAACTGGTGCTGCTGCTGCTGCAAAGACGATATTTGGCGGTGAGATGCCCTTCAGTGATGGACTACTACTACTACTACTGGTCGGTTGCCTGCCTGACTGCCTCTTTTTTAAACCACTACTACCCTCCAACTGACGACGGCTGAATGCCGGTGAATTGCCGCTGTTGGACCGAGAGTTAAAACTGTGGTAAGTTGGCATGGGGGCGTCGCCCATTCGCCTGCTCGGACCTCCTCCTCCTCCTCCGATTCGGCTGTTGTGCAGGCGAGCAATGATGTTTACCGGATTGGACTCCTGCACTGCCATGCCAGTGCTTGCCTGAAGTGGCCGGAAAGAGCTGGCGCTGAGGGGAGTGCTAAAGTTGGTCCAGTCCTTTAGGGTTGAGCTAAAGCGAGAGTTGAAGGAGTTCTTTGGAGAGCTGCTGCTGCCGCTGTTGCCTCCCTTGTTGGCCATCTGCAGGGCGTTGGCTTTTGCCTGCAGCACAAAGGGCGCCAGCTTCAGCTTCTTCAAGTCCTCCAGCGTGACGCGAAACTCCTTGATAATCTTAAACTTTGGCTTTTGTTCACTCCCTTGCTGATGCAGGGGCTGTTGTTGGTCGCTGCCCTTGTTGTACGGCTTGATGCTGTCGATTGTAGTGCTGGGCATGCTTTTCAGCGGCACGTTGAACATCTTAATGCTCTGCGGGTTGATCTTCAGCGAGTGCTTATTTGACTTGGAGGAGCCTGATTTGGCTCCCGGTGCCCGGCTTGGCTCGAGAAACTTGGTGATGTACTCTTTGATGATGTCATTGTAGTCGGTTTTGGTGTTTGCTGCCTCATCGTTGATGTTGTTGTTGTTGTTGTTGTCATTTGTGGTGGTTGACTGCTTTTGGCTGTAGCTGTTGCCCTCATCCACTCGCGTCGGTCGGTCTGTTCGGGTAAAGTAGTTGTAAGCGACAGAAAGCCAGTCATTGCAGTTGTTGAAAACTGAGAGAGCTTTACTTACTGGTGATTCCAAAGCGTCGGGACATTTCATTTTCACTTGACATCGAGGTGACAGAAGACAGCGAGGAGGGCGGCGAGGAGAGCTTCTTGATGACCTCTGAAGCGGAGCTGTAGGAGAGCGGCAGAATGCTCAGTCCTCGGCCCAGGTCATTTCCACCGTAACGGGCAAAGCGATTATCATCGAGTGTCGCCTTCTGGGCGCTGAAGCCACCACTGCTGCTAGGGCGACTGTACCCGTTGCCGTTTCCACCTTCTGGTGGTCCTGCTTTGGAGATGATTGTCTTCATCTCTTCAATTACCTAAAGCCATCAAAGTTAGAATGTTCAAGTAACGAGTTACAAAATAGGCATTACCGGCTCAACACGCTGAAGCATCTTTCGAATTGGTTGGATCACCTGCAAGCAAAACAAAGCGGTTAGTTTTAGTTTTAAAGATGCATTATTAACATGTCCGGTTACTCACTTCGGTTACTTCTTGAATAACTGGTCGATACTTGCAAATGAAAAAATGAGTTAAAACTTAAATTTATAAAAAACCTTGAAATTGTGAGCACCACTTACCACATTGTGCACCACCCTGTGCGGCTCCTCTTCTGATGTGGTCNGAAAAAAATTGAGTTACAACTTAAATTTAAATGTTTGAAATTGTAAGCATCACTTACCACATTGTGCACCACCCTGTGCGGCTCCTCTTCTGATGTGGTCTCCTTTACTTCCTCTGGTGTTTCTACAAAACAAAAAACAAAAAAATTATGTTGACAGTTAACAAATGTCAGAAAAGTTTGTGTGCCTGTGCAGGGCGCATTTGACTTCTACTGTGATTCAGATAATTTGGTGCTGGTGTTGCTAGCACTTGCTTATCTGATTACTAGACGTAGACAAACATGGAAGGAATGTAACATAAGGACAATCGATAATAATTAAGAGCCCCATTAACATGTGTGTAATAAGTGCAATTTATAGCATTATTGCTGCAAAGTAAGACTAGAGCACGATAGTGCTAGCACTAAAACAGAAATTGATACAAAAGAAAAAGCGAAGCAGACTTGCCATCAAATTGATTGCTTAGAGTGGTGCCTATCACTTTTACTCAAAGAAAAAGAATCAAACAGAAAATGAAGTACAATGGAAAAACTATTGAATATAATGATTCCAGTGTAATGGGTAATTTTAAAATGCAAATCAAGTGTGAAAATGCGTAAGTGAAAGAAAGAATAGAACAAAAGTGTTGTGTTTGAGTTGTTTCTTTTGACAAATTAGAAAACAGAATCAAATGATGTCACTCTTTTGTCAAACATTTTTTTTGAAAATCAAGTTTTAATTCTTTGCTGCAGCAGTCCTCTGAGAGCAGAAGAAACTTCTCATCAAAGCAATTCTGATGAAACTCAATTTTGTGAACAATTAGCAAAAAAAGAAGAAAAAACGGATCTGAAAAAGGAAAAAAGTTTGAATAGAACATGACAAGTGGAACAAAATGAAAAATACATCAACCAATTGTAAAAACCTGCCAACTAATTAAAATTTAACAGTTTCAGTTGATGCAAAGTGACCTGTCAACCTGAAAGTCGGTTGACTTTTTGCCTATGAATATTCTCCTCCTCACTTACTTAATGTCAGCAAAAAAATGCATATTTCATCTGTGCATTTAGCACAAACGCACACGGGCACATTATAAATAGTCATCTCTACCGCCACAAAAAAAGAGTGGGCGAAGTGGGAAGCGGAAAAGTGTCTGACTGCTTGTCTGTCTGTCTGTCTGTGTCTGTGAGTTTTGCCGTATTCATTTGCATTGAGTGGCCATTGGCGAGCCCACACCACTCGACAGTAAGGAACAAACTGCAAAAGAGAAGAAAGGATAGGATAGGATAGTTGAAAAAAATGGTCCTCGTCAACGTTCACAAAAAGTGCAGTGTTTAAACAAAAAAAAACTGCAAAGAAAAAAACTACAAACGCTAGCCGATGGGCGAGTGCTTCAGGAGAAGGAGGTAAAGGAGGAGTGCAAAAAACCGATATTGTTATCCTCTTCTTTTCTCATTAATTGCCGATCACTCATCCCTTCTTTTCTTAGACAAAAGTTCAAATAACGACTCAATCAAAATAAATACCGTCTAGCTGTTTGGTAAAGGGGAAAAAATAAAAGGATAAAAAAGTTTCACGACTTCAAAAAGTGGTGTCATCATTCGGGTGGAGTTAAGGCAGAGTTAAGTTCAATAGCCAAAGTTCAGTGACAGTGACATCAAAAGCTAATTAAATTAAAGTCATTCCTGCTAACTAGAACAGTATTTTCAAATTCCTTTCTTTTTATTACCTGAACTTTGATGTTTGTCTATGGTTCAAAGAAAGCTAAACATCAGCCTTGACAAATGCCACATCATCATCATCTTTATTCCCAGTCAAACAAAGATGGCGACAACTGTAGCCCCCGGGCAAATGCACAGAGTCGCACACTAAAAGCAGCAACTGCTCGCTCTCAGTACAACTGAACAATGAAGAAAAAGTACTGAAAAAGCACTTTTTCCTTACTGCTAACAAGAGAGAGGTTTTGTTTGCAAAGAGGCAACATTCTCAAAGTTGATGAACAGTACAGAGCGGGTTCTGTCCGGAAAATGCACTAATCTAATTGGCACACAGAATTAGCAGTGCGTTAATGATAATTGGGAACAAAAGAGTAAAGCCGCTTTTGCTTTCTCTAAAACAGAAAGGAAAATTAAAGTTATGGCAAATTGGGTCTTTTACTGCTGTTTTTGCTGCACTTTTATTTTCAATGATTAATGGGCTGACGGTAGAGTTTCTAAGCAGAAAAACAGACAGCTTGCCAGTTGGCCAAACTCACAAACAAAAAGTACTGGACACTACCGAGCGCTACTGACACCGAATGACGGATTTGTCCCTCGACGATGAACTCTCCAGCCCGAAGCTTCATCAATAACCGATGAGCTCATTAGCGAGAGAGCTCTGTGCAATCACACCCGAACCGAGAAGCTCACTGGATTACAAAGTTTGAGGGTTGTACTTTTCTTTCAAATAAACCTAGGTTTTTTAATTTGATGATAGCTAAAACAAAAATGTAAACTAAAATCTTCAAAGAAACATGAGTAAAATTGGCTCGTTGACTGGCAACACAATTTTCTTTTCTAAAAATACAAGAAAACTAATCTGAACCGTAGTTGAACTGCGCTGAAATCGATGATGATGAATCATTTCAAAGGTGTAACAATAAATAGCCCCAACATACCTGATCGATGCTCCTGATTCACATTGATCTTATTGGTGGCCGTCTTGAAGACAATGGACAGCGGCACCTCGTAGGGGGAGATCTCGATCACCTGTGGCTCGCCCTCTTTCGGCTCCTCAAAGCGGACCGGTATCACCTCGATGGTCTTCTTCGTGTGCACCGCCGCCTCTACCGGTCCGCTGGGCGTGTACTTGGCGCCCTCGGCGCCGCCAGGTGAAAACTTGCTCATGGTGTTGAGGAAGCCGTCGCTGTTGAGGAGGGCGCTGACGCCCGGAGAGTAGTAGCTGCCGCTGCCATCCGAGGATGCCTCCTTTTGACTGCTGCTGCTGCCAAAGCTGCCGCTGCCGCCGTTTGCGATTGAGTTGAAGACGTACGAACTTTCAGCTAGTCGCTCGCCGTATGAACTTGTGTCACTAAGCTGCTGTGGCTGCTGCTGCTGCTGATCAGAGGTGCTGAGGGCCGTGCTGAGGGTGACACAGGCAAAGAACACCAGCAGCCAAACGCTGCTGCTGCTGCTGCTGCTTAAAGTCGTTGCAGAAATGATCACCTTTTTGGGGAATAACATGATGCACAAAAGGTGAAAACGGTTAGCAGTGGATGACAGGACAAGGAGAAAAAAGAATAGATATGATGATGATAATAACGACGATGATATCCACTATCAGTTGATCATGCTGACAAATGCTGACGGCTGAATGATGATGATGATAATGATGATGAAAGAGGGACAGCAGCACAAGAGCACTCACAAACAAAACGGAATAAAAGACGCACAAAGTGTTGGGTGGATAGAATAGAAGATAGAGTGGGAGAATGAATGGTGTAATAGACAGCTGACAGTTGTGCTCAGGTCGAAAGTGAAAGCAAAAGTGGCCAATTATCGGATGAAACGGTGGCAAAACAGGGCACTGATCAGAAGTGCTCGAATGCAGATGATGGAGGTGGTGGTGGTCACTGGAAGAAAGGAAAAGGCTTTGGCAACCGAGGATGCTTACTGACTGGAAGGAGAAACTGCCCAAAGTCGTTCATATTTATAGCCGCCCGTGGCACATCACCTCCCCGCCGCCGCCGCACTCACGGGAAAGTGAGAAAGTGAGAAAGGGAAAGGAGAGAAATCAAGAGGAGAATTCTTCTTCACTACAGAGGAAAGAGAGAAGAATGTGCTCCGTCCGAAAGATGAGAATGAGAAACTCAGGTGAACAGACGAACAGACAAATGTGTGTGTGTGTGTGTGTGTGTAGTGACCACCATCGTTGAAGAAAGAGAGAGAGAGACGAAAGAGAAGTTAGCGGTGGGCTAAGTGTGCACTGTGGGCAACAGGTAACAAACACGGGCTACCTGTGCGTGTGCTTTTTGTTTATGTGTCTGCACTGCATCTTTTTGCTCTCTCTGTGTCGCCGACACTGTGCATGTCGCCCGGCATTCCGATCAAATGCTGCTGCTGCTGACGACAACTTTGTTGCATTTGTTTTTTTCCACCGAAGACTCTCCTTTGATCACGCGTTTGCATAATGGCCCCAGAGTGCATGTTTCTCATGTAGTAGTGAAATTGATTTGCATTTTTTGTTGTTTCAGATGCTGTTGCCGCTTCTTCTTCTTCAATGGAAGTACAAGAAAAAACTGCATAAATGAAGCAGAGCAACAAGAATTGAAGAGCACATTCATTTTTCCAAAGGCTCACTTGAAGTAATTTGCCACTCTAATAAGTTTAAAGTGTGGAGCACTGTCCTATTGTCAAGTGAATTTCATTTGAAGAAAGTGCAGGCAGTGGCAGGGGCACAATGCAAGAAAACGCTGTTTTCCCGTGCCATTAAATTGAACTGCCATTGAATAAGCAAAATGGTGATGTCTGGGCATAAGTGAGTGTGAGAGTGAGCGAATGCCCTTTCCTGTGGTCAGTGTGTTAGTAAGGAAGCTGAAAATTGTTGGCAGTGGCAGCCACTTTCCCAGTGGTGACCGCAACGAATGCACCGTGAAACACTTCAAAACAAAAACAAAATAAAGCTCATTCGGATTTCACTTCCCCCTCATTAGGCCTCATTGATGCAACAACATGAAGTTTAATAAACACCGTGTTTAATATAATTCACTAGTGCAAAAAGACTGTATTTTGTATTCAATAGAGCAAGGTAATTAGATTAAACAGCGATGATGAATTTGACTAAAAACTCTTGCAAGCATATGCTTTTTCCTGTGATGGAATGGAGCAGAAGGACATGTGTGCAATGAGTGCAAGAGAATTCCAATTTGAAAAGACACAAAGGCTAAGGCAAAGGTTGCAGGTGGGCAGACAGACGGAGAAAGAGCTTCCCGGTGCAATATGCGGATATGCACACCGCGTTGATGAGCAGATGAGCAAGGGTTAAGTAGTGGCCAGTTAGCAGTAGTGGTGGTGGTGGGCAATTACCACTACCAGGCAACAACAGTCCGACTCAGCATTCCTAAGTGTAGTCAGTGAGTGAGTGAGTGAGTGAGTGCGTTTTCCACGGGAGAATAATCATAAAGTTGCTGCTGGTAGTGCTGTCTCCGTGGACAGATGATTAATCATTTGGCGGACACCACCGATGATGATGATGATGATGATGCAGGAGCAAGAGCCTCAGCGTTGCATCGCAACAAATTGTCAGTGCTTGCTGGTGGTGGTGCTGATGCTCGCTCTTTGCCGCATTTTCAAGCCTGTCCGTCACCGTGATGCAACGCACAATAGTGGGCATGAAACACACTTTGAACAACAAAAAAAAACTTTACAGTTGAAGAAGATGAAGAAGAAGAAGAAGTTCACTTTCCCATCGCCCCTTTGTTTTGTCCTCTGAGAGTTCAAACAAAAAAATAAAAGCATCACTCGCGTTTTCTCCCCATCTTCCCTGACTGCTACTGTTGCTGCTGCTGCTGCTGCTGCTGCTGCTGCTGCTGCTGCTGCTGCTGCTGCTGCACGAGCCAATAGACAGACGGACAAATTCAAATTGCTCAATTTAAATAACATTATTGCTTATTTATTGCTCAGTACCTTTTACGAGTTGTATCATTTCCCCCTCTTCTCCTTCTTCTTCTTTCCGATAGTTAAAAGACAACAGCAGCAGCAGCAGCAGCAACGGAGAATGCAAATTGACGCCTGAACGGTAAGCAACACTGCTTCAGCAACGAGGCAAGTGATGCCGACGCCACCATCGTCGTCGTCGTCGTCCTCTTCTTTTCCCTTTCCCCTCCTTCGTTCGTTTGGTCGAATAATGGTCGCTGCCCAATGGCTGCTCGCTTGCTGGCGGTGTGCTTGTGTCACACTAAAAATAGCGATTCAATTTAAAGGAGCGAAAGACAGAAAAAAAGAAGAAAGAAGAAAGAAAAGGCGAAAACGCGAACTCCTTCTTTGATATTTATAACTAACCGCAAGTATTCGTACTTCGTTTACTTCGTTTTTTCTACCACTCACTTGGTTTGTTTCCCGCCTCCCCGCTGGTGGAGGTAGTGGCGGAGACACACTGAGGGGCAGAGACACTTGGCTGCGGTTGTTGTTGCGGCGGTATAATATTGATTGAACAAGAGCACAGATCATCAACAACATCAATGTAGTAATTGAAATGAAAGTCATCCTCAGAACAAGTGTGCCCTCCTCCTCCCTCAAGTGCTTTTCCATCAACTAACTAAACTCCTGGTGGCACACCATTTTTTAGGCATAATTAATTAGCGACAAAAGATGTAGAGCAGAAAAGATAGTGCAAATGTAGCACTACATTAGAATGTCGTTATTAATTCGCGCAGATTTCGGTGTCACTGATGCTGGGGGCTGTAGGGAAGATGATGATGATGATGATGCAAATGCTAAGTGGTCGTCTATCTTATTTTATTGCCAACTGACAAGTCGCTAGGTAGTTAGTCTGATTCGTTGGCGTAAACAGCTATTTTTTAGCTGAAGTTATTGCTACTGTTTTCACCTTTACAGAATCAGCAGTCAAAGTGATGTGATGCTGCACTGATGCTGCACTCTAAATGTAGCAACGACTGAATAATCGACAATACTCACAATCAAAAGTGTGCTTGCACATGATGCACATCAAATAGCAGATCACGAATTGACACGCTTTAAAATTTGCAGCAGACATCCGCCGCAACACCAAATGAGGGATGCCAGGATGCAGCACACAGCCACTGACTGATCTCGATTAATCAAAATGCTAAGCGGTTTCTCTCGTCTCTCGTTAATCTTTTTTTCCCTCTGCATTCACAAATGGTGCACTTTTATTAATCACTTTAAAGGGAT